ATACAAGCAATGACTTTACATTCATTTATCATTTTAACAGGATCCTTCTTACATTAAGTCTTAGGTACTCTGTCCACTGTCCAATCACCCTGTAGGATGGAGCAGTAGTATTGGTCATCTGATACTGGAAAATGTCATATCGTCCTGGGGCATCTCCATTTTCATTGAACATCACAGGAGTTCCAGCACTTCCTAAACAACAAGAAAGTAGTTTACTTATTCTAACACAGCTCTTCACAGTTTAAAGAGGAACTGAAGAACTCAGGGAAAAATGTTTCCAACACTGCAAGGGTTAGGTGCTTGTTTTCATCTAGGTGCTAAAATAACAAAGTTAACCCCCCCTCAGATTACAGCACTTCCTCCAGCCTGTCTCCTCCTCAGCTCCTGCAATGGTTTGTCCCTCTGCGTCCTCACATTCAATACTCAATGTATTGGACATGATAACTCAGAGGACCTCAGACCACTGGAGCAGAGATGGAGAAAGGCTGGAAGAACCGATCTAACAGCCAGCCAGCTGCAAGGATCGGGTGAGTAGAACTTTTTAATTTTAGCACCTAGATGGAAACAAGCACTTAACCCTCGCAGTGCAGGTGTAGCCCCAATGCAAAGGTTAAGAAATGTTTTTTTAACCAGAGTACTTCTTTAAAGCATATATCTACAACAAGTACTATTAAAATAAAAATGTACTTAAAAATCGCTCTTACCATTGAAGTTTACTCTACGTATATACTGTAGCAGCGTTCGCCCATCCACAGGATCCATCCTGTCACAGACTCCAATGCTTCCTTGGCAGAGATCACTATGCATGCTGTGTAAGGCATGAGCCATTGCATACACTGCATCAATGACAAACTGCACTTTCCCTTCTTGTTCATAAGCTGAGTCCCTACTTATCCTTTCCTCCCCTGTAATACAAAAGTCCAAGTCAGCACCGCCTTATCCAGGCATTGCATAGCCATAAATAACCATTAGTATGCATATCATGTAAAATAGTGAGTACAAAGGCACATCATTTATTCAATCCAGTAGCAAACAACTTCATCATTGTGGCCTAACAATGTTAATTATACTTGCAAAAGGCAGCACTCCGGGTGCCAAACTTATAACACCATGTCATGGACAGGAATGCGGTTATTGATTTATAATAATGGAATGTAGAATATTATGCATGCTCCTTCAAGCATCATGGAAGGTATAGTCACATGGAACTGGCATAATAGATCATGGAAAGGGGCAGAGCAAACTCAGATACCATTGAGAGATGTGTTATCTTGTTTGAGATTGAAATCTGTAAAGAAAACGCAGCAGGAGTCGGTTGGAGGTGCTTAATGTAAATCCCATATTAAGGTTTAGACTGTACTTTTAAACAAGGAAGGAACGAATTGGACAGGCAGATGTATAATACCTACCAAACTCTACTAAATGGCAGCTTTTTTTCTAAAATTAATTTTGTCTGACAGGTTCACTATTAAGGTTCATTCTAGTTAAGCTTAAACATTTTACATAAAAAAAAAATCAGCATTTGTCTACCTGCCACAACTAATTTAATTTAAGAAGACAGTAATATAGGAACAAACTGATTAGCTTTAGACTTAGTTCAGGTCTATGTGTTTTATGGTGGTGGATTTAAAAAGAAATTGTGCTTTCTGCATTTTTGTGCAGTTTCCAGGAAATGCATTTTCCACATTTGGTACTACAGTAATACCTTGGTTTACAAGTAACTTGGTTTGAGAGTGTTTTGCAAGACAAGCAAACATTTCTGAAAAAGTTTGCCTTGATATACAAGCAATGTCTTGCAATAAGAGCAAAATTATGTAGAAAAGCGCCACCCGGATAAGGCTGTAGCATTGCGAGCGATGAGTCTAACGACAATGCAATGTCACATTGAATAGATTCCTTGTTAAGATTTCACGAAATGAAAAAGATTCCATTGAGTCAAGAGATAGCAGTGATTCCGTTAGTGATAGTGAAAGTCGTCCTGCACAATAATCCCCTGAGAAACATATATCAATATATATATATATATATATATACACACCCAGTATATATACACACTCCACAAATGTAATACAATATAGTATTTTTAATGAAAACATGATAAATGAAGTTATTTTCATTCATTGCTGGAAGCACTAGTAACTTCACTGTTCTCCATATACATTGTAAGCATACCGGTGCACTTTCGCCTGGAATCTTCTTGTAAGGATGCAGATCTGGTCAATTTGCATTTAAAATCATCCTCCCAAAACTCTGCAAACCAAATATTGCGCCGGTTATTTTCCAGTGTCCGGCTCATAAAATACTGGTCAAACCCTAAAACGTAGATAGATACAACTGTGACTTGTTGAGAACTATAGCAATGACCAACCAGATGCTTACAATAGACCTACCACTCACCGTCGATTGAAGCTCTTTTTGGCAGGATAGTTACAGCGCCTTCTGCAACTTCTTCCATTCCCAAAATAGGGGATGTCTTGGATCCCCAGCTGTCAGACCCTACCCATAAAAAGTGACCCGTTTGGTTGGCTCGGTGGGCTGCATCTAAAACACGCCTATTAGCAGTAATAAAATTGGCAGTCAAGAAGACATTACACATATAAAAACAGTGTTCAGTTACAATAATTGTGATTAAACCATCATTACATTACAAACTGACTTTGTTTAAAAAAAAATGTATATAACATATACAGTAACTACTGGCCTCATCAGCTATTTTGCATGTCAGCATTATTAAAAATGAATTAATGTATCTGTTCTTTGAAAATAACATTTTATTATGAAGCCAGATTTCGTAAAACTGTCACACAAAAAAATGAACATGTCACTTTTTGGAACTATGGCAACAATAATAATCTGCTGGCCGGATTTTCCAGAGTTTCTATCCCTCTAGCCCTGTAATTGGCACACTGCTTTTCCCTGAGGTCTGTAGACAGCATTCTTGTACTGGCATGAATATCTAAAGCAGCCTCAACAATTTACCACAGAGAAACTCTTAAAAAACTTTTCGGTCTCAGGACAACACTGCTAAAATAATTTTATTGGGGGTCAGTGGAAAGAATATCCCTTACATTGATGGTCGGGGGGAAAGAATGCCCCCTTACAGGGGTGGCAGGAATGTCACCTTTACAAAGAGCTTAAAAGATCATGTCATTCCGTTGTCTCTGCCAAATGACACTGGAGTCAGGATTCTGCAGCACCACTAGATGTGAGGTCAACCCCTAGCAAACGCTGGGGGAACCCTAGGGTCCATAATGACATTTTCTAAAACCCTGGTACTTAACTATACCTAAAATGCTTAAACGTTGAGTTTTCAAGAACAAAAGTGGGCCAATATTTAGTCTGAACAACACATAAAAAAAGCAACCAAGAAATGAAATATTGAAAAGAGAAAGCAAACAGCTAGAAAGGCGAGTTCAAAAATCAAAAAAGGATTTGCAATTTTTTTCTCACTTGATGTCATCCTCATTGGCAAAGATAATGATGCCACGAGCATTGGGAGTCTCTAGCAGCCTTCTTATCACCTTATCGAACTCTCCAGGACGTGGCTCTCGAGGAATCTTAATAGACTGGGCAATGCACACTCCTCCTACAGGATAAGAGTAACAAATTAGGACATATGCATTCATGATGACTGGTCAGAGCAAGAATGTCTAAACTTATGTAACTTATGTGTGCAACAGATTTTACATTTTTTTTTTAAACTATTACTTTTTGTTAAGGCTAAAATGAAAAACCCACCAGCTTCCCGAGAAATCTGCACAAAAGCTTCAACTCCACTCTCTCCATAGTTGCCCTCAGATGCTAGTGTTGACACGTAATTCCAACCAAGAGCTTTGACAATATCCACCATTGCCTGCGCCTGGTACGAATCTGGCGGCACCACACGGGAGAAGTAGTCATACCGGTTGTTGTCACTGAGTTCCGGGGCTGTTGAGGCATAACTTATCTGAGGAATCTGAAAGATGTAATGACTGACAATAAGTTTCTATTATCAGATTATAACAGGTAAAAAAAACACTTTCGTGCTACAATAGACAATCAGCTGTTGCAGGAAATATACGTGCACAGAAATTCTCAGAGGAATTCTCCTGGGACAAGAAGGCAAGAACCAACAGCTCCGCATAAGAGCCAGAATACAGGCAGCACCTTTTAACAGGATGGATAATTATCTATAAACATTTCAAAATAGGAAACCACATTCCTAAATGGGCTCTTTATGCAAAATCAGGTTCCCTAACAATGGGACATCTATATACTGTACCATTAGACAATCAGGGCATGTTTACTAATGTCTCCATAGTAGTTTGTGTTTCTCACACTTCAATTAGGGGAGGCACTCTTTTGCCACACTATTTGCTCATTGTGCCTCATGAAGAATCAATCAGAGGAGGATAACATCAATTTTTGTCTTCTTATGACTAAGCAGTTTGACAAAACCGAAAAATGGTATGGAGATGTCTCATCACAGCAGTGCATAAGAGATAAAAGAAGCCAGCATACAATTAGCTTTAATTTGCCAAAAAACATACCAAATTATACAGCAATTTTGATAACGCTTTTGGGTAGAGGTGAAAAGAAGGGCTTTACATATTCAGCCTTTGAAGGCATATACACAGTGTAGGGTTTTTACAAAAACAAAAGAAAAACGGTCTGTGATACCCATTAAGACTCTCTTGACTCCAAATTTCATTGCCATCAAGAAAAGCAGAATCCAAAGAATCACAGGCACAAATGACAATTTTGTGTTCAGTCCTGCATACATCATGTATGCAGGGCTGAACACAAAATTGTCATTTGTGCCAATTATTAAGTGTTAAATTTCCTTTTTAACACTTAATAATGAGTTAAACTTCTCATGGTTTACTTTGCAAGATTATGGAGCATCATGCTCCATAATCTTGCAAAGTAAATCATGAGAAGTATAACTCATTATTAAGTGTTAAAAAAGGAAATTTAGAAATTTTTAGTAATGACAATCTACAAACAGATACTTCTAGAAAATTGCCGATTTGTATTCTTTGGATACCTCGTTTCTTTTTTCTCTCCCAGTCTTCTGACAGTGGCCCTTTTATCTAAGGGCAGATTACTAGCTCTCCCTTTACTTCCTGGAACTCTGGCACATGTGACTAGGACATGTGACCATGCACATCATCTAAGGGGAGGAAAATGCCTTTCCCTGAGATCTTGTAAGATTACAGATGATATTTCCCAGCAATGCTCTGCTGATGTAACCTTCACAGGATGCAACGCTTGGGCACTTACATCATTTGTGCCAAAAATGGACCAGGAAGTAGATAAATTATATTTGTAAGTAAATGAAAAACAAGTTTGTTTAACTTATGAATGTAAGATGATTTCATATCAGAATGCAGAGCTGCATGCTGATTTGATTTTTAGGTAAAGGGGGTAAAGGTTGAATTTAATTGCAATAAGTCTAAAGAAGACTTAAAGCATTCAAATGTTAGAGTTGTTTTGGCTAGTAGGAGGTAATTAAATTATATCTCAGGGCCTATATGTTATATGCTAGTAGAGTCTTTATGATAGAATAAGCCTCAAGTATAAAGGGTCAGGAATGATTAATGGCTGTTCTCACTAAATGTCATTCCAGGGGTTGTATACTTAAGTGTTTCCCATGTGTCTTGAGAGGTGCACTGTCTCTGCCAACCATTAAGCACACTTTAATGCAAGATGAATTACACTTAGCAAACAATATGAATCCAACTTGTACTGGTATGACTTAATCATAGAACATGCTGGTTAGACAGAATCTAGAGCAGTTGCCTATGGCAACCAATCAGTTCCTATATTTAATTTTCAAAGCTTAACTGAAAAAACTGAAAAGTGAAGCCGATTGGTTGCCATGGGCAAGTGCTCCATATTCTGTCTGCTCCAGTTTTGATCAATTCCCCCCAAAGTGTCAGGTGTCTGGGTCAGATCTGGTAGAATGATAGACTGACACCAAGAAGAAAATTTAAAGCACAACCTCTGCATCACTACAAAGCAGGAAACAGAGTTTGCCTGTAAGAGCCCATTCACACCAGGTTGCGGACCAGCGTGGTTACCGCGCTGATTTTAAAAAGGAGGTTTTGAGAGTTTTTTAATGCGTTTCGGTGCTGAAACGCAATTAAATATGCCCAAAACCATGCTGATCAGCGCAGTTCCCCTGAAAAGCTGTATGGAAACAGCACTAATCAGCGCTGCAAAAATAGTGCAGGGAGCAGTTTGGGCGGGGGGCGGTTCGGATCGCGCGGACCCGAGCGGTCGCATGAAGAACGGTCCCCATAGCAATGTATGGGATCGTTCATGTTGGCGGATCAGTGCGGCCAAATCCACACGGCCGAACCGCCCCGGGGTGAACGGGGTCTAAAGTGGCAGTATGGCTGCTTTCAAGCACATGTATATTTTCACCAACACTGAGTAACAGGGACTGAAAAATGTTAACACAAACTAAAAAGATAAACAATTCACACAATTCATTACATTTGCATAAATATCTGATGTAAAAAGATTACTGTCTTCTTCAATAAAACGAAGCAAGTATGACATGCATTTCTGAACAAACATCCAGAATGAATGATCCAGATACATTCAGAGATAATAATTGTCCATCATCTGTACATGACCCACTGAGACTATCTTTGATCTGACACATGAACATAATCCGGAGTACAGCGCGCTGCGGGTGGGTGTCATGAACCGCCTCCATAATCTCTAACCTTGCATACTGCCAGCACGGCCCGACAGAAGCCTTACAAATTTAATTTGATTATTGTGAGCATCTCTGGCCTAAATCATTACAAGGTCTCTGTTCTGACACACACAGATAATCTGTGATCTGGCACACAAGCTTTGCTCTCTAGCCCCAAATTAAATGGTGTCATTATCGCTAGTCTAAGTGCAACTATCTTTGGACTTGCACAAAATAAACATCAAAAGCGTATAATCATCTTTAGCTTGGAACAGTAACTATTAGTAGTCTTAAAGCAGGCGCAGGATAACCATTTCCTGTTTCACAGTCTTACAGTACATAGTCTTAAAGGGGATGTGGAACCTTAGACACTAAGGTTAAAGGGCAGGACTTAAAGTGAGTTAAATTTAAAAAATGCATTCAAATATCCTAACTATTAATTTAAATGTATTTTATTTGAGTATCACTCGGCTGTAGATCCTCAAATCATCTCTGAATTGGTGCTGACACTGTCCTTCCTTCTGGAGGGTGACTACTTTTGTCCCCCATGGTCCCTCTGTGTGCTGTAAAGTAGCCACCGCGATCCAAGCTCGCTCCTGTGATGGACTACAATCTCAGTACAAAATACTAAACTTAATGTGAGATTGTAGTCCATCACGGGAGCAATTTGGAGCGGTGGCTACTTTACAGCACCAATTCAGAGATGATTTGAGGATCTACAGCCGAGTGATACACAAATAAGATACATTTTTGTTAATAGTTAAGGTACGTGAATGCATTTTTAAGATTTAACTCCTGAGTATAGTGTCACTTTAAAGACAACCATTTAGGAAATCTAGCATACATATTATATTTTCAATAGTTACTTCCTTTTAAGACTAGAGAAGTATGTTATTGAAAGGATATTTAACAGAAAAGCAGGCACCCTAATACTGTCCTTAAAGGCACTAGGCTCCTGACTTTCTCCTGAGATCCATTTTCCATCCAATCAGAACTCAGAAGAGGACAGTGTGTTTCTAGGAGTCTATTCCCCGATGGATTTCCTTTTTGAATCACACCTAGAGCCCCGATGAAGGGGTTCTGTGTGTGCCCCCGAAACGCGCTGGCGTTTTGATGCTTTTATTGTTACCAATAAAAACTCCTTTGTTCTATTCCAGTGGTAAAGACAATTCTTGTGGGAGAAGCAGGACTATAATTCTCTGGGAATATGGCAACATCAATGACTGTATCAGTGTTTCCTTTTTTGCTGCAAATATTTTGATCAGTATTCTTTTCTAGCGCTTAAAGGGATTGTAATGATTGAAAATATATAGAACAGCAATCAACAGCATATAGAAGCCCTTATAGTATAGTCATTGCTAAATGGAATTAAATAGCTATTGTTTCAAGGCCTATCCTATTTTGAATGACTCTCTCCATAAATCCATGTGCTTCATCCACCCTGCAGTGAACAGAACTAAATGCAACCAAAGACAAAAATGCCCTCGTCACCTACAGACCCGAGGATAGCTTGCCATTTTACCCATTACTGCATTCTGGCATTCTGACCAATATATTAAGGTATTGACAGCACCTTATCAATACTGACTACTCATTTCTCCTAAAAGTGGTACTTCAATTATAGTTGGAGATCACCATAAGACCTTCAATTCATAGTTCCTGGCTACTTTGCAGTCCCATTTCTCTGGTCACAGCACGAGTGCTTCTTGGTATTTCTGCTTGTTTTGTTGAATAATCAGTAATGCAAATACATAAGCAATCAAACTAGAAGGATGAGAGCCCCTCATATGGATTGCAACATAACTTACCACTGTAGTTCCTACAGCTACATCTAGAATACACATACAGATAACCTTAAGGCTCGGTTCACACCTAGGCATTGCGGGAACGTGCGTCAACTGCGGGCATAAGCGAAATGCACTTGCGTTACCATTACTAGTTAATGGCACCACAAGCGCGTCCGGGAGTGCACAGGTTCCTCTTCTGCATTTGCGTGCATTAAAACGCGGAAAAGAAAAAACACAGAACGCATATTTAGCTACATGCGCTACTTTTCCACGTTGGTCGCATGTATAGGAACCCAATCAATGGGGATGCAGAGCAATCGTGGAGAACGAACATTCGCACTATGCCTACGTGTGAACCAAGCCTTTTATAGTCTTCATACACCCAGGGGTGTATCTGCCGCGAGGCAAACAAGGTGTTTGCCTTGAGCGGCAGTTTTCAGGGGGGTGGCAAAAATGCAGCCCCCAAAACAGTTAGGCAGC